GTTGTTTGGCGGGTCCGGGCTGGGGATTCGAACCCGCCACCTTAGGTGTACATGGCTGGCGCCTTAGCCGGTTGAGCTATAGGTGCCGAGCCTTAAATGATTCTCTTGCTTCAACCTTCCAAGTAGTCGGGACGACAGGTGCCCACCACAACACCTAGCTATTTTTAGAGATGGGGCCTCACTCTGGCTCAGGCTGGTCTGAAACTCCTGAGCTCAAGCAATCCACCCGCCTTGGCCTCCCAGAATGCTGTGATTACAGGCGTGAGCCACCATACCGGGCCTACCGAGCCTCTAATTGTTGACAAGTCCCCCCGCCCCCCATCCTCCAAAACCCCTAAACTACATAAAAAACACTTTTTCTATGGAGTGAGCTCTATGTCACATCATTTATCACTCCAGTGAAGAGTGGAGTCCTCCTGGGAGCCAACAGTCAAATACTGACAGTTCTCCAGGAGCTGCGACCCACTTCTGCCTCCTCTGGTGGCTGCCAGGCTGCTCATTTTCACCACGTCTGTGGGCTACTGGCTTTCAAGGCTATCATGGAACTGGGGATGGATTAAAGATGCGAGTACAGCAAGTTAAAATGCCAAAAAATCTTGGTATTCTTACTCAGGCTCAGCTGTTTTTCTTTAATAAACACTCCCCAAATTGCAATAAACCTCTGGTTCATTTCCAGAGTTCTGGAAAAGTTGGTTCTGACAATTTTTGCCTGTTTTCTCACTGACTTCACAAAGGAAAGGATTTCTTTTTTTTTTTTTTTTTTTTGAGACAGAGTCTCACTACATCACCCTGGATAGAGTGCCCTGGAGTCACAGCTCACAGCAACCTCAAACACTTGGGCTTAAGCGATTCTCTTGCCTCAGCCTCCCAAGTAGTGGCTATTTTCTTGTTTCAGTTGTCATTATTGTTTGGCAGGCCTGGGCTGGGTTCAAACCTGCCAGCTCCGGTGTAGGTGGCTGGCGCCCTAGCCACTGAGCTGCAGGCGCTGAGCTGTAGGCTCTGAGCCAAGGAAAGGATTTTTGAAGGTCTTAGTTCACACTGTCAATAGCATCACCTCTATTTTTTATCTACCTATTTTATCAATTACTACAAAAGAGGGATGTTGACCTCTCCACCTATTTACGGATTTGTCTCTTCCTTCCATTTTGCTTCATATATTTTGAAGCTGTTGTTATTAGGTGACTACCAATTTAAAATTGTTAAATCTTATAAGCTGATCATTTTATCATTTAAAAAATTCCTTATTTTGGCTCAGTGCCTGTGGCTCAAGTGGCTAAGGTGCCAGCCACATACACCTAAGGTGGTGGGTTCGAATCCAGCCCAGGCCCGCCAAACAACGATGGCTGCAACCAAAAAATAGCCAGGCGTTATGGCGGGCGCCTGTGGTCCCAGCTACTTGGGAGGCTGAGGCAGGAAAGTCACCTGAGCCCAGGAGTTGGAGGTTGCTGTGAGCTTTGATGCCATGGCACTCTACCCAAAAGGACAGCTTGAGGCTCTGTCTCAAAAAAAAAAAAAAATTTCTTATTTTATCTCTGGGAATGCTGCCTTGAAGTCTACTTTATCTGATATTAATATGGCCACCTGACAGCTGTTGCTTCCTATGCCAAGCACATAGGAATGCAGAATCAATTTATACTCAGATATAGGGGAATAATTCAGCTGTTCAGTAAGCAATATCGTCCTTGTGCAAATGTCATACACTTACACAAACCTGCACAGTACAGCCCACTACACACCTAGGCTACACGATATAGTCTATTATTCCAGGGCTACAAACCTGTACAGCATGTTACTGTACTGATACTGGGGGTAATTATAACACTGGTAAGTATTTGTGTATCTAGACATAGAAAAGGTACAGTAAAAATATAGCATCACAGTTTGTGTTGGGACCTCTGTCATATATGTGGTCCGCTGTTGACTGAAAACACTGTTACACGGCACAGGAGTCTGCTGCTCCTATCTGGACCACATATTCTTGCTTTACCTCTCTAACTATTGACTTGTCTGTGTCCTGCACAGGGTTCCAAAGGTAGGGACGTCGCTTTTTAGAGACAGTCTCTCTCGCTCTGTTGCCCCAGTTGGAGTGTAGTTGCTCAGTCACAGCTCACTACAGCCTCAAACTCTTGGGCTCAAGTAATTCTCTCCTGCCTCAGTCTCCCCAGTAGCTAGGATTACAGGTGCGTGCCACCACACACAACTAATTTAATTTTTTTGTAGAGATGAGGTGTTGCCGTGTTGCCCGGGCTGGTCTCAAAATCCTAGCCTCAAGTGATCTTCTCATCTCAGTTTCCCAGGACACTAGAATTCCAGGCAGGAACCACCATGTACAGCTTGGGTTTTGATGTAAAGAAACAAAGTTTTAAAGAAAAAATTTACATGAGAAAGTTTTAAAGGAAAAATTTATTATGAGAGACATAATCTGGGAAAAAATAATTCATGCTAATTGGCTGCTAACTTTCACAAACCTTTAGCTTGTCTGCTTTGGCCCTCACTTCCAGAAGCTTCTTCTCTTTGGCATCTACTTGCAGCCCCTCATCACACCAGTTCACAGCTTCAGCAAAGTGTTTCAGTTCCAGATGGCATAAAGCACCTGCAGGACCCAGAACCCGTAAAATCAGGAAAAACATGCATGGAAAGAACCTGCCATGAGCAGGACTCCACACCCACCAGCTACCAGCAGCACCGTAATGGGGAAATGAAGGATAATTCCCCTTTTACTGCTATCCCCAGATAAGGAAGAGTATTTTTTTGTATCCTACATCAGAAAGACCCCTAGACCCCATTCAGCTCAAAACTCCTGTAAGTCTCCCTGGTATTAAGGCCTCTCCTAAAGTAGGGAGAGCTACAGCTTACTGGCCAAGAGCACAAGCTTAGGAATCAGACAGATTTGGCAAGTCATGTGCCAGCTAGACCAGTGGTTCTCAACCTTCCTAATGCCGTGGCCCTTAATACAGTTTCTGTGGGTCGCAACCCACAGATTGAGAACTACTGAGCTAGATTTTAGGCAAAGAACCAAGTATCTCTGAGCCTCAGGGTTCTCCGCTGCAAACAGGAAGAATAAAGCCCATCTCAGATGACTTTTAAAATGGAGACCAGAAAGAATTTGCCTCAGCCATTTGTCAAGGTATTGGCAAGATCAAAGACATTAGCTCTCTCCTAATTTTGCTCTTTGTGAGAGCAAAAGCTGCCTCTCTTTTCCATCAAGAATTTTCTTAGGCCAGGCATGGTGGCTCATGCCTGTAGTCCAGCTCCTCGGGAGGCTAAGGCAAGAAGACTGCTTAAGCCCAGAAGTCTTGAGGCCACAGTGACCTATGATCACACCACCACAATCCAGCCTGGGCAAAAGAGTGAGACCTTGTCTTTAAATTAAAAAAATAAACAAAAATAAAAAATTAATGTAATGACATTCATTTTTCTTAAATTAACCTTTTTAGGCTTTCCACAAAATTGCATAGTCACAGAATAGTAAGGGCTTAGATGTCAACAGAATCTAACCCCATTTTCCAGAGATGAGTAAACTGATACTCAGAGTGGCTATCTTACCAAGATCATATTGGAGAGTAAAACTAACAATTGAATCAAGAACTATACAATTCCAGCCCGAGGCTAATTCCACAGGACTACACTCAATTTATCTGCTAATCTTGGTTCAGTAACTTCTTTCCCTATGGCTGAGGGGTGTGGATCTACCTACGACTCCCTAACCATGAGCATCTAAAGACGCTTAACTTCAATAAGGCATTTTAGGCAGGTCCACGGGGATGAGGGGAGATTAATATGTGATGAATAAATTAAAGTTTGCAAAGCACCTATGAGATGCTCAAAGAAAAGGTGAACTATAAAAGTAATAAAAGCACTGTTATTACACAAAAAGGTCAGATGACAAGAGAAAAAAATAATCTGGGAACACTAAAGCATCAGAGTTATCAGCAAAGGTCCCACGACTTATCTTTTAATTAACATTAACATGGCATTTGAAGATCTCACCTTTCAATCAGCTACTATGGAAAAAAATTAGAATGTGACTTTTGGAGCTGCTTTGTTTTAATTAATTTTATTCATTATTAATTTAAAATGTAGAGTTTCAATTTCTCTACAAATTCTTGAAATATAAAGGGTTACATCATTCTCTAAGGTATTCTTTTAAAAGTGGCATGTTGCTGTTGATAAGGAACAGGAATTTAATATTAAGATTACAAAAATAGCATGACTTCATTAGTATCCTAGCACCTTGATATCAAAGCTTCAGATACCAATTTTTGGTGCAGTGAGTGCTAGCTTTTCCACAACGACATTATACTATAATTCTATATACTATAGACTTACCTCTTACTATTGCTTTGAGGTGGCAGGGCTTTAGCTTTCTGGCAGCTGTCACATCATTGAGAGCAGAACGAAAATTGCCTAAAAAAAATACTTATTTAGTGAAAGAGAAAACAAGTTGGCTCGGCGCCTGTGGCTCAAGCGGCTAAGGCGCCAGCCACATACACCTAAGGTGGCGGGTTCGAATCC